TCCAGTACAGCCAGAGCTGCACAATGAGACCCTTTCTCAAAAAATAACAATAATAACAATAGTTATTATTACTATTACCATTATTATTTTTTTAAATAAGCAAAGCTTGCAGGCTATAATTTTCCCCTTCATGGAAGTGACTATAGCACAGGTCTGATGTTCCTTAAGCAAACTATTTTATTAAAGCCCTCTGTTGCTCTATTCTTAACTCCTACTCGGAGAGAGAAGAACAACAGGGGTCTTCATCTCCTTTCCTAGGGTCCCCATTAGCATGGTTCTTAAGGGAACTGCAGGCCATGGTGGATGGTATATCTGTGTCTGAGGGACAGTGTCTGCCATTAGAGTACATTCACGGACATGACCATCCCTCCTGACAGGAAGGCTGGAGACGGAGACCAGTAATTGTGGCCCAGCTACTCACGGTCATCAGAAAGCCCCACTGTCCATCTGCCACTCATAGTGTGCTAGGTTTGGTCCTCCAGCTTTTCTGCACATTGTCTTAGATGGCTGCCATTACAGCAACATCGATTCCTCCACAGCTGTGTCCTCAGACAGGAGGTAGGGTTTCTTGCTCCTCGGGGAGGAAGATTTTTCCCAGATCTCCACCCTAAAGAGCTTTTTTTAAAAGCTTATTGTTCGGGAATTGATCTTGTGATCACCCAATGTCAGCTTCTTCCCACAGATCACAACTGCTTCCATTCCGGATTTTCAGTGGGTTTGGGTTTGAGAAGTGCAGTTGCCCTCTAGGACTTTAGGGACTGTGTGAGGACCGTGCGACTAGGGGGTACCATTCGCACATGGCGGTACTGTTAGACCAGCATTAATAAACCTTAGTGGCAGGGCTGGTAAGATGGCTCAGTGGGTAAAGAGACTTGCTATGCAGATTGGACAACCCGAGTTCAAACTCCAGATCCCACATGAAGGTGGAAAGGGAGAACTGAGTCCCCAAAGTTGTCTGACCTTCACTTGTATGCCCTGGCATAATTGTGTCGGGAGTCACATGACATCATGCACACATACATGCCAGGAGGTTGCTGCTGACCCTGAGCAGGACCTGCTTGGATCACATTGGTGACCCTGGTAGAGACTAACCCAGCAAGTCTTGACGTGACCACAGCCTTGTCAGGAAGCATGACTGACATCCTATAAGAGACACCAAGCCAGGCACCAGCTGGCCTCTCCAATGCCAGCCTGGCTCTGTTGAAACTTCCCAGTAGACCAGCAACTCATGGAGCTGACTCGACATCATGATCAGTGTTTGGAAGACACTGCAGAGTGGCATGGAGTGGAGAGGGGCCCGTGCTCAGGAGGGCCCCTGCTGGCGAAGACCTGGACTCAAAAGTCCACAGTTCTGAGACTGAGAAGCCCAGGGTAGGAACAGCTTCTCCACAGCTGAACCAGATGTGGTTTCTATTCATAGGCAGAAGGCAATAGTGGCCAGTGTCAGCTCAAGAGGTGCCACCAGGCAGCACTTCTGTAAGGACTTGGCTCACCTGGAGGAAGCTGGCCACAACATGGCCAAAAAAATTATTTTGTCCCTTTATAGAAATGGCTTTCTGACCTTTACTCATGAACCTTGGAGTCAGTCAGGCCCCAGTGTGGCATAAATGGCTTCACCTGAAATTGTGCAGTCTCTAGCCTGTTCGACTAAAACTTCAGCCCCATCTGAAAACTAACTACAGGTTTTTGGCGGTGTTTGGGAGATGGAAGGAATCGGGAGCTGTGAAATGTCAGTGTCTCACCGGAGACACTGTTTCCTGCTGAAGTCAACACTGTGAGGTTTGGGAGGCAGTGAGCAGGCAGAGGGGTGAATCTAAATTTAGATTTTTCTAAAGCCAATTTGTAAACTAGAGCCCCAGGAATCACAGAAAGGGATAGGCGGCACATGCGGCCTCCCCTCTGCTTTGCCTCCATCTGTTAAAAGGCAGGAGCATAGGGGGAGGATAGCTCACTGGAAGCTGTTAGCGAGAAACCAGGCGAAAGCCGGGGTTCCGCTGGTGGGAGACCTAGGGTAGAGTTTTTATTTCTGTGTTTATCACACTGTTTTCTACGGAACTGTGAGAGCCTGCGCTGCCCTTGGGGGAGCTACGCGCCTTCATCTTTGCTGCCTGTCATCCTAGCACAGCTGAATAGGTTGACCTTTCTGTCTCGGACAGTGAATGCCAAGTCCTCTGGTTTGAAATCATATCTGGGATTCTGGGCTGCCACTTTCTCAGAGAGAGAGGACCAGTCTTTGCTGCTGAGTCTACTCCACTACCCAGGGACACATCTATGTGCCATCTGCCTCTCTCTGGGGTTGACTAGCCCTGCCTGTTGGCACATCATGCTAGAAATGAACTGAGACCAGTTAGAGGCTGCTTCATGGCCAGCTGCCTGAGGGGAAAGGCAGTGGGTTTGCAGGAGATATTACAGAGGCGCTAGAGAGAGGAAGTTAGAAAAGGAAGCAGAGACAGTGACAGGAAACTCAGGTGGGAACAGAATGCTTGGATGAAGGCCACCTGCATAGGGTGTTGAGATTCTGAGAGGTAGTATTGAAGTGGCAGAGGCTGCTGAGAGGGTCAAAGTTCAAGTACAGGGCTTTGTATGCATGATTAGGGATCGATGTAAAAAGGGCCTACTGAGCATGTTGCACTCTCACAGCACACAGAGAGAAATAAAAAGTGCTGAAAACAGGGGCACACCCTTGGGACAGGAACGGATCCGAAAGGCACAATCAAAGAAGCGAGGCAGGGAATTGAAAGGGTCCATTTAGACGCCCCGGAGGAAGATGGCGCTGCTGGAGTGGAGCCTTCCCAAGGTGACATGTTCCCTGTGTCCTCTAGCTGAGCACTGAGAAAAAGGCAGTCCCTCCCACTGGGGGCAGAAAGAGGAAAGAATTTAAAAATAAATGAAGCCCTTCTTAATTATTCACAGATTATCTGCATTGCAGCCTCTACTGCCAACATCTCCTCCTCTGAGCCTTCCAATCTCTGTTTATCAACCAGCAGGAGCTAGAAAGGGGAGGGGGCTCGGGCATCTCTCCTCCTCAGAGAGAGATGGATGTGATTAGATCCCTCTGCAATACTGCTGGGGACCCGATGAGACTCACAAGTGGGACTGCAAGAAGCCCCGACTCCAGGGGGGATCTTCTGGCTTGGCTTCTGGAGTCAGGCTAGAACCAGGACGTGTGCATGGAGTTTAACGAGCGTGAAGTTTAAGTCAGGTGTCCCTGAGTTAAAAGGAGGACTTTCCTGCACACAACCATGAGTCTCAGCACCCCCTCTGAAGTGGCTCAGGCATCTGCACACCAGATGAAGAGTCTTCCTTTAGCCACGTGTCATTCTATGCTCACACCAGTCACATGAGCCCAGGAGGACAGTACCGTCTGCAGATAAGGACAATGGGACTTGTTCACTCAGACTGGTCACAGTCTGAAGTTTTCTTAGGTCTGTGATTGTTTTGCCTCTGGGCCTAATAAGAGCTTCAGAGGGGAACCGCTGTAAATTTGACAGGCTGTCCAAAGAGCCAGTCCATCTCATTTAGGTGTGAGGACCTGCTGGACAGCAGCCATAATGGCTGGCATTTATAGAGCTGAGTACTTACTGTGTCCCAGCGCATATTTCTTTGTACAGAGGGGACAGGGCAGGGGCCAGTGGCACAAGCCAGGAGGTGGCTTCTTTGATAACCCGCTTGCCCACACAAGCATGAGAACCTAAATTCAGCTCCCCAGGACCCATATAAAAGCCCATAACCCTGGAGCTGGGAGAACAGAGGCAAGAAGTTCCCTGGGGCTTGTTGGGTAGCCACTCTAGACAAGTCAAGGAGCTCTGGCATCAGTGAGAGGCAATGTCTCAGAGAATAACTCGGAGAAGCTATTGAAGAAAGGTTCTGGGATCAACTTCGGGCTTCCGCGTGCACATATGCGTGCCCGAATGCACAGCCCTCAGTGGGGATCTGATTATTCACTCTTCTGATCATCTGTATGCCCTACCCCCCATGCACACACACTGTAATTTCAGAGCATCAAGCTCATGGTTGTCTTGCTTCGTTTGTTATTTGTAGAGTCATACAGTGCTCACATGGGTACGTGTGTGCACACACGGGGCTCTGCTCTGGGATGAGACTTAAGATAGATGAGGTGGGAGTTAAGAATTAAGGAACCCGGCCAGATTCCCTCTGTGCTGGATACAAAGTTCTATCTCTGTGCAGCCATGGACTTTGTCCGCTTGGGAAACATGCCATACTCCTGAAGTCACCATATTGCCTTACTTCAGAGTTCTGCATTGACCAGGCTAAGATTTGTAGGGCTTTCCCCTTTCCACGTAATATCCTATACCTGCAAATTGAGTTAGCAGCCATCAGAGGGGAACCGTCAAACAGATGTGGCCAACTGCTTTAAGCAGTTAGGTCCCCAATGTTTCCGACATAAAAAGAATAGGGCTCTGCATGCCAGCCCCGGCTTTTGGGCAGGCAGCCCCTTCCTGTGAATGGGGAGAGTTTTATCGTTTTTGCCACCCATAGGGAAAGCAAAGACTACAAATGCTATTAAATCTCAGTCAGAGGCTAATTTTTTCTCTTAAAGTATTCAAAGGCATTTGCAAAATAAGGAAGAGACCCTCATGGGAAAACAGGATTATTGAGCCCTCATTTTCATCTGTAACTAGTTCCTTTCGACTTTCAACCTTCCCAGCTAGCGCTGAAGTGTGTGTGTGTGTCAGGAAAGCATAACAGATTAATTTTGCAAAGGTCAAAAGGGATGACTCCCACCCCCAGTCTGCATGTCAGCCCTGGGGGAGCAGGCACCGACAGAGAAGCACACCGTCTGATGGGCTTATCAAATCAAGCGGTCTCTCTCCTCTGCCAGGGCACTGCTGCAGTGCAGAGCTGGAATCCCCTGAGCAAGCAGCGTTTCAGCTGGCTGGACAGATCAAATAACACTTGGGCTAGTTAACAAAAGACGCAAGTGGGAAGGTGTTGGGAGCCAGAGTGTGGAAATTTACCCAACATTGTTTCTTTGACAGGAAAGGGACCGTCTGAAGGATGCTACATGCCTGGGTCCCCACTGCACCCAGCCGAGCAGTCTCACTCAAGGTGGCGCGGATACATGGGTGAAGGAGGATGTGCCCCCATCTGAAGCCTCTGGAGGGTCCTGGTCTGGCAGCCGAGTTCTTTTTTGACTTGGGACAGCAGGTGTAACTCCCGAGCTTATGAGAGAGTGTGGCTTTTTCCAGATCTTTCCTCACCAGGCTGGTTGGGGTTTTGGAACCTAAAGGAAACTTGTAGGAAGATAAACTGAGAAGAAAGAGAAGAAGAAACGAGAAGAAGCCCCTAGAAGCTTCCAGAATCCATTAACTGGATCCCTCTGACTGCTCAGAGCACAGAGGGAGGCTATGATCCGATTAAGCTTTGGACCCACTTAAGTAAAGCAACACAGCTCAGCAAGCAGCTCCTTCACTTGAGCCAGACGAAGGATTCAAAGGGAGAAGAGTTACTGCATATTTTACTCTGAGATCCATGGAGATGGAAGATAACGATACTGGCTTATCCTTCTAATAATGCCAGATCTGGAAGAGGCATGAACCATTTTAAGCATCTAGGAGGGTTCTTGAAGCACAGGAGTTGGTGGCAAACCCTCCCGATGCTGGTAAGAACCGTTGAAGCCTCCCGCCGAGCAGGTCGGTGAGCAAGGACTTGAAGCCGTTCCTGTTCCCTGACAGCTGGCAGCAGTGACCTCACCAGGAGCAAAAGCATCCCTTGGTTGTGATATTTGACAGAATGAGGTGTGCTGGGGAAGTCACTAGCTGGAACTTGGCCTTCTTCAACTGCCCCTACATTCTACAGCCGGCCCCAGACCACTGAGTCAACAATGGCCGAGAAAGGTGACTGCATCTCCAGTGTCTATGGATATGACCTCGGTGGGCGCTTCATTGACTTCCAACCCCTCGGCTTCGGGGTCAACGGGCTGGTGCTGTCGGCTGTGGACAGCAGGGCATGCCGGAAGGTAGCCGTGAAGAAGATCGCTCTGAGTGACGCCCAAAGCATGAAGCATGCGCTTCGAGAGATCAAAATCATCCGGCGCCTGGACCATGACAACATCGTCAAGGTGTATGAGGTGCTAGGACCCAAGGGTGCCGACCTGCAGGGTGAGCTCTTCAAGTTCAGCGTGGCCTACATCGTCCAAGAGTACATGGAGACTGACCTGGCTCGCCTGCTGGAGCAGGGCACGCTGACCGAGGAGCACGCCAAGCTGTTCATGTACCAGCTGCTCCGTGGGCTCAAGTACATCCACTCTGCCAATGTGCTGCACAGGGACCTAAAGCCTGCCAACATCTTCATCAGCACAGAGGACCTTGTGCTCAAGATTGGGGACTTTGGGTTGGCAAGAATCGTGGATCAGCACTACTCGCACAAGGTATGTTTCCCTGGAAAGGCCGCTGCTAGTGACCTGCCCCTCACTCAACGACACACGCAGCATTTCTGGGGGTTGTCATCAGGAGACTGCTGTTAGTGTCAGGGGGAGCCGAAAGGTGCAAGAGAGATCCATGGCCTGAGAAGTTGTGGGTCGGGGGAATCTGGGTCTTGGTGATGGATCTACCACATGACTGTGGCCAATAACTCTGGGCTGTACAAGTGAAAGGTCACACCGGACAGTGTCTAAACTTCCTTTCTAGTCCAGAGCTCTGTGTGGCTCGTGGATTTTTCTCTCGAATCCGCTGATTCTATTACTCAGTGCTCAGGAGACCCCGGAAGGCTCCCCACACTAGAAGCACTATGATCTGTGTCACCTGGCCCTCTCACGAGGGCTGGCCTGTTCTGAGGTCCTTTCAATCAGTCAGTGAAGAGTGAGCAATATGGGAGGAGTAGGCAAAGCTGATAAAGTGACACTCACCGCACGTCAGCTGACGGCTCTGTCCTCTTGGGTCCTGTGATGGCCTTCCCCTCAGTGTGCTAGGGCAGCCATGCTTAAGGATGGTTCTGTTAAAATTCCCCATGGTGCATTCTGACCTCACTGAAAGAAGCACATGCCACCATGATTTGTTTTCAAGACCCTCACTCCTGACGTGCTGTGTCTTTGGGAACGGCAAGGAAGCAAGTACACCAAGGAAGCACGTACACCATGAAATGCTGATAGCCAAGGGTGAGAGTGGGCCATGGAATATGAGGGTGGCTCTGACCTTGAACATGGTTCAGCTCCCTCTCTCTCTCTCTCTCAGACCCTCCCTGTTCCACCACTATGTGCAGTAGGAAGGCATAACAAGCAGGGGAGCCACAACTTCCTGTCCACCCTCACTGGCTGGAACTTGGTCTCCCACTAGCCTCCCACCCCACACCAGCCTCACTGCCTCTGGCTTCAATATCACAGATCACTTTGCCACCTTAACCATGTTCTTGCCCTCTTCACACACTCCTGCAGCCATGTCATCTGTCAAGATTGACAACCAAATCTTGTAGGCAAGAAGCTATGGCAAAAAAAAAAACCAAAAGATTCTGTCTTCCCAATACTGTATGCTATTTGTTCCCTTCCTTTTCCTAAGGAGCTATGATGTCAAGTCATTGAACCAATGGCATTAACCCCAATTGTTTTTTTTTTTGTTTTTTGTTTTTTATGGCAAAAAGATCCAGAGAATATATAGCATTTCTATTTGGAATACACAAAAAACCTTCTTGAACTTTCTTTTGTTTTCTTTTGAAGGATTTGCTTTTAGTTTTGTGTGCATTGGTGTTTTGCTGACATACGTGTCTGTGTGAGGGTGTCAGATCCACTTGAACTGGAGTTACAGACAGTTGTGAGCTGCCATGTGGGTGCTGGGAATTGAACCCGAGTCCTCTGGAAGAGCAGCCCCCACAAAAACCTTCTCTTTTTAAATAAATTTATTTTTATTTTATGTGTGTGAATGTTTGCCTGCATGAATGGCTGTAGCGTGTGTGTGTGTGTGTGTGTGTGTGTGTGTGTGTGTGTGTGTGTGTGTGTGTGT